TTATTTTGAGACAGAGTCTCATAAAGTTACCCATGGTGGCCTTGAGCCTGTGAGTCTCATGCTTCAACTTCCTGAGTAGTTAGGATGTTATGATAAACTAGCTGAGTAAAATCAACAGTCCATGACCCTGTCTACAGGATCCTTAACCAAAGAGTGGCACTGTATAGAAATGGAGAATAGTATTATGTAGGAGGGAAATTTATTGGGATGCTTTTAGACAGTGCCTAAAAGAGTACTCATGCTTGTTTACTAAGTAAAAACTGCTTCATCACACCTTCTATGCTCTCCCTCTACCCCTTGCTTCAAGGCTGTTTCTCAGTACAGCACTAAAGTCCACCTACACTTAAGGATTGCTGAAAGCAACTGTTTGCTGAGGGCCCTACAATCTTCCCTAAGAGATCCTACAGCTTTAAAATTCCCATATACAAAAATACTGCTTAGTATACAATTCCCTAAAAATGTTTAAATCAATTATTTATTTACATTAACAATAGAAAAAGGCTGCATATTGGCCCCAAAACACTTCGCCAATGAATAAGCAAGTTGTGGAAGAATGTCGCTCTTCAGAACTGCTAAACTGTTGCTGTAATTGGCCAGTCTCCCAAGAGCCAAAACAGCAGTCTGCTGAATAATTGGGACCACATCAAGAAGAAAAGGCTTCAGCAAAATTATTACACCCAAGTGAAATTTTGAAAAACAGAAATCAGCCAAATCTTCAATTAAAAAGCAAAACCACAATTCAGTGTATATATGCAGGCAAGAAAACTAAGGGTAAAAATCAGAAACAAAAAATATCCACTAAAACCGAATGGGATATTTAAAAGCATCTAATGGATCAAGATGCAAAATTTTAAAAAAATGCAAAATCTTGCAAGCTATAATTATCAAACAAGCAACATAGCATGAAAACAAACCTCTGGAGTTAAAGAAGAGTTTGAATCTCTAATTCAACAACTAAATAGCTATGGAACCTGATGGGGTAGTAAGGAGAAGAGAGAAGAAAGGTAGAGTATATGGTATAATGCCTAGCCTCTGGGCAGCAGAAAAGGGGACAGGGAGCAGAGAGGAGATGAGCTGCTCCCAGGACACAAGAGGAGGCTTCTGGGCCGCTGTACCACCGCTGCCAGCAGAGAGGAGGTGAGCTGCATGGGCACAAGGAGCACCCTGCCCCCCCTATCGAAATGAAAAGACATGTAAACAAGTCTAAAAACCAGACTTCCAGATCACCTAAGGCAACCCCAAAGGGAAATGAGATGGAACACTCTGATACTCAACCATCTGGATGCCCTGAACTGGCAGCAAGAAAGGATCTGGAAAAAATGAAATCAGAAATAATTACTCAGATAACAGCAGAGATTGTGCTCATAGTGCAAGACATGATTAATCCAGAGAGGATCTGAGGAACATGATGGAATCCCAACATAGGAAACAAATGGAATCCATAAAACAGATGCAAACAGATTTCCAGGA